CTTTTTCTGCATCTATTGAGATGATCATATGATTTTTATTTTTCAATATATTAATGTAGTATATAACACTGATGGATTTGGAGATGTTGAAACATCCTTGCATCCCTGGGATAAATCCCTCTTGATCATGGGTATGATCCTTTTAATGTATTGTTAAAATTGATTTGCCAATTTATTGTTGATGATTTTTGCATCTATGTTTATCAGTGGTATTAGCCTGTAATTTTCTTTTTAGTGATTCTTTGTCTGGTTTTGGTATCAGGATAATACATGGCCTTGTGGAATGAGTTTGGAAGTGTTCCTTCCTTTGCAATTTTTTGAAACAATTTGAGAAGGATAGGTGTTAGCTCTTCTCTAAATGTTTGGTAGAATTCACCTATGAAGCCATCTGATCCTGGAATTTTGTTTGTTGGAAGTTTTAAAATTACTGATTCAATTTTATTACTGATGTTTGGTCTGTTCATATTTTCTATTTCTTCCTGATTCAGTCTTGGAAGATTGTATGTTTCTAGGGATTGGTGCTGGCTGAGTGGCCCAGGGTGTCCCAGAGCTGGTGTTGGCTCCTTCGTGTGTGGGCTGGGTCCTGACATGGCAGGTTCCTGGGTTGCAGTGGTCCTGGGTCTGTTGTCTGCCTGCTTGTGGGTGGGGTTGGTTCCTGGGGTGGCTGGCTGAGGGGCCCAAGGTATCTCAGAGCTGGTGTTGGCCTCTTAGTGGCTGTGGCCAAGTAATGTCAGCTGGCTGCTGGTCTTGGGGGTTCCAGGGCTAGTGCAGGTGCACAGGTGGGTGGAGCCTGGTCCTGGGCATTCTGGTGGGTGGGCTAGTGGATTTTGGGGTTCTAAGGCAGCCAGCCAGCCTACTAGTGGTGCTGTATCCCTTCCCAGCTAGCTACTTGGCCTGAGGCATCCCAGTACTGGTGCCAACAGGATGGTGGGTAGGTCTGGGTCCTGGCGCTCATAAGCTAGAGGAGCTCACCATTCTAAAATGGTGAGTAATTAAAATGAAAATAAACACTAAACTAATATCTGCTCGTATTATAAAAGATTAAAAATGTTCATAAGGCTCCAAAGTAAAATTAAAAATCATCTCTCCTTCCACTTCTAGCCTCAAACTCTTGTTTGAACCTCTGATATTACCATTAAGACTTTAAAACAATACATTTCTGTTCCTGATTCAACAACCTGATATAGTATTTTTAGATGTTCTGCTGTGATATATGATGAATTTAATGCCTCCTACTTTTTACTCCCATCGTTCTGCATTCCAGTTTTTATTTTATTATTGTATTTACCTTGTCAAGGTTTGTAATATTTTCATTCTGTTCTGTAACTATAATTAAGTTTTCAATGCTTTGTCTTTAGGTTCATTCAACATATTTAAAGTAAATTAAAACAGAATTTAAAATAACATGATTGCATAAATATTTTTATTATGGGTCTAATCCTAGCATGTGATGCAGAACTCATTCCATTTTGACAATGTCCCTCTTAAAATTTCAGCTGGGAACTGTCCATGGTCCTCCAGGCACAGTCTGACCAGTTCAGGGCAGAGCGTTTTGCAGTACTGAAGTGAAGCCCAGGAACACACTGGCCTCATGGACAGTTAAACTTATTGTTAACTTGTATCGGGTTTGTCAATAATGGGAATTTCAAATTTAAGTTGAATTCTTAGTATTTTCCAAGGTTGATTATGCCACTGGGACAGCTCAGATTTGGGAAAGGTCTTCCTCATTTTGAAGTAAAATGTTACTCTGCGGCTTCCACTCTAATTAGATCATGGAATTACAGGGCCAAAGGATATTGTGCATATTACATGTTTTAGATATTTATATCAAAATTATACCTATTCACACTTCCACCAGCAATGTATGAGAGGACATGTTTGGGGGAATTTCTGAGTTTATTTGTTAATGTTAACTGTAGTAGGTAGAAATAACCAACGAATTTTTAATTTTATGAAATTTGTCTAGGGTTGGACAAATTAAGCTCAAGCCAGAGGTTTTCTACCCTGATGATAATTAGTCATTTTAGTTTTGAGAGGCAGTTTGATCTCAGGCATATCCAAATCCATAGGATGGTTAGCAACATTGTAATAGGAATCAGTTGTGTTTTAAAAACACAAACCTTTGAATGATTTCATTACTTAATGCATTTAATTGGGAAATTAAATTGAACACCTTGATCCTATTATTTACAAATGTTTTTGTTAGAAGTAATTGTGAAGGGGTCATTATACTTTGTTGCATTAGTAGCACTGAATCTAAAGATTTGTTAATTTAAAAATTTTTTAAAGTGATCCCCGTCACTGTCTTGATAGGGTCTGTGCTCATTTGCCTGTGCGATTTCTTCTGTGGAGGTCAGCCCTGATTTTCCTCTGAGGGAGCTACTTGTTTCTTGTTCTGTGTGTCAGTGTGCTCTGACAGCAGTCCTGAGGTCCTGGCCGGCGACACCAATGTCACACTACTTCAGTGTATCCTTGAGGTAGCCATGCAACAAGACTCTACTCTAGCCGCTGTCTCCCGATAGCTCTACAAGTAATTGCATTTTCAGTCTGAGGACATCTGTTTCCAGCAGATCGGCCGCGTGCCTCTGAATTCTGAAGCGCTTAATCAGAGCACTGGGGGAGCAGGTCCCCAAGGCCTTGTCGCTGGCTCCCGAGTCTGCATTTCATACGAGAAACAGCATATAGTTCTGTGGGCTGAAATGTGTCCAGAAAAAAAAAATCTGACCTGCTGCCATGTGCCACTATATTCTATGACCACAAAAGAATTTTCTGATTTTTATTAGACGTAAGCATTGGTGCTTTGGATTTGTTAAAGAAGACTGTTTTGACCCTGGTCTCTAAGGCAGTGAGAAAACAGCCTGATATTGGGGTGGAAAAAATGCCTCATAGCTGAAATATTTTAATGGTGTTTATTGGTCTCCTGCTGTAAGCTGCTGATTGATTAGTTTATTCCAAACTGACAGTAAGTCTATAGTACTCAAGTGTCTGATATATTTTTTGTGTATTTTTAGGATCTTTTGTAAATTCCTGGTTAAAAATGTCTCTCCATTGGTCATGGAAACTCCCCTCTTTTGCATTAGGGACTTTCTTTCAATGTAAAAGTTAATATGTAATTTCCTATCAAGTTTTAGAACTCTGAGGGGATTAGGATTAATTTTCAGCCCTGCATCATCGAATGTAGGACCTCAGTTTTCTAACCACACGTTAGATGGTAGTTTCTGAGTAATACATGGGCCCAATTTATTATCGCCAAGGCTGATACTAGTTACTCTAATTGAGCAGCTACTGTATTACTATCTGAAAAGAAATCTGTAAAGTGTTAAAATATTGTATTTGTGATAAAGTGTGCATAATTTAATTAGCAGTAATAATGGGACTTCTCTGCACAGACGACTGGTTTGGAAAGGCAGTGGGGAAATGGAGCTGGTGCCAGGACCTGGAGAAGCAAAGCATTTCACAAACTAGTTTCTATAATTAGTTTAGTTATTACATCTCAGAAAGGGGCAGCTTTTTCTAACTACCTACATCCACCGGATGACTTTTCATTCAAATTGATGCCTAAGACTTCCTTGATTTTAAAAAAAAATCACCAGAAAAAAAAAAGGAAGATATTCTCTTTCTTTTTTTTTAAAATAAAAGGTAGGAGGTAGCATTTCAAGTAACATTCTTCCTGTCTTCAAGCTCTAATGCAAAAGGGATGATTGCATTTTAACTAGCAACCTGAAATGTCAACTGGCCAGTTTAGACGTAGAATCTGTTATTTGACGATATGGTTTCTTTTTAGTTATTTTTGCCCCTAACATACTATTTTAAATAAAAACCAAAAATATGTTTGCCATTTACCTAGACTACAGTATTATAGCAGTGCTGGCTAACCGACTGCTTAATCTTATTTGATGTGAATTCACTTAATTGGGAACTTGATGTCCACAAGTGTTTTGTTTTTTTTTTAAATGAATTTTAAAGATATCCTTTTTATGCCTCTTTGGACCATTCTACATATAGTAAATAGAAGTAGGTGTACTGGTAACTTTCTCAATGCCCTTTATTTTTACAAACCTAATCATACATATCATATTCTTTGAAATTATTCTTCTCAGTATGGTACTCTATCTCCCTCTAACTTTTAATCCTCCCACCCACCAAATGGCTACTCCTTTCTATTTCCTTTCTTCAGGTCCTATCAGTATTGGTTTTATTTTTATGAGACAGGGGGATACACAGTCAATGAATATTGAAAGAAAGATTTTACTCTCCTTTTTTTCTTTCTTTTTTTTTTTTTTTCGGTATGCGGGCCTCTCACTGTTGTGGCCTCTCCCGTTGTGGAGCACAGGCTCCGGACGCGCAGGCTCAGTGGCCATGGCTCACGGGCCCAGCCGCTCCGCGGCATGTGGGATCTTCCCGGACCGGGGCACGAACCCATGTCCCCTGCATCGGCAGGCGGACTCTCAACCACTGCACCACCAGGGAAGCCCTACTCTCCTTTATACAATGATTTTTTATGATAATTCTACCTGTTATTTAAAAGAGTTTTAAGGGGAGACATCTTCATTCAAATAACTTTTAGTGACTTATTAGGACTCTGAGGGTCTACTGTTTACTCAACATCAATTTCCATTTATACCAAACTTAAGAACACATAGGCCTGTAAACATATTCTATATATGGATCGAATGTAGTAGTATGTTAGCCAATGATTTGTTTTTATTAACTCTTTCCAGAGGTCCACATAGAAAAGGCTTATATGTCAGTTTCCTTCTTTTTTTTTCTAGCCCTGATTTTATATCCCTTCTCTTTTTCAGACATCTAAATTTACCTAACATAGCTTTACAATTGAACAACTTTACGAAGAGAGGATAGGGCACCTAAAATTAAAAATGGAATGAGCATTTAACCCTAACTCCTTGAACTTATTAGCAAGCAAGGTAAATGAGAAGCAAATGCAGGTTCCCCTCCTTAGCTGATAATGCTACTGTCCTCACTTTCCGAAATTATTTTAGGACTTGCTCAGTGCTGTAGAGGAGAAAGAAGCTCTTGAAAGGGAAGTTAAGATCCTCCAGGAAAGGCTGCTTGCTGGCCAGCGGGTCTGGGATGCCTCAAAGCAGGAGCTGAACCTCTTGAAGAGAAGCCCTCTGGAGTTGGAGAAGAGTTTGAAGGCTGGTGTGGATGCAGCCACAGCCTCGCAGAGCGAGTACTCCTCATGTAGGGAGAAAATTGCAGCCCTCCTGAGGAGCAGCTCGGGCACGCTTAGGCCCACGGAGGATGCCATTCTGGAGAGGATTCGAGAAATGGGCGACCGGGAAGAGAGCGGGAAACGGGTGAGTGGGCGATGGCTGCGTACAGGCTTCTGAAGGACAGTCAGATCCTTCATTCAGCCTACTCAGTAAGCGAGTGGGTTGTCTGAGTTAGTTAAAAGTAGCATTTAAATGTGGTTGTACTACTTTCAATTATATATTACAGTCCCGAAGCCTGACCGCATACTACCATGCGGGTTCTGGACTCAGAGCTACCTGGGCTGAATCTTGGTCTCTACTGCACACTCACTTGCTCCAGATGGGACCTTGGGCAGGTTCCTGAGAGGACAGCCTCTGAGATTTTGTTTCCTGGCCTGCTGTACGGGAACAGCCCAGGGTCCACACCCCTTGTCTGCAAACCTTGGAGCCTGCTGTGGTTTTGAATTCAGAATTTTTCAGTGTTTAGGAAGGTAAAATTGTCCCCAGAAAGGTAATGGAGAAAGCACCCTTCCATATTCCTCCTCAGTGGGGTCTGGGACAGCACCCCATAATCACCACATTCATCTTCTGTGGCCAAAGCTGTGAGCAGCTCTGCTGTGTGGGACCCACCAAGACTGTGAATAGCCTCGGTCACTTCAGGTCAGGGTTTGTTGCCAAATCCTGTTAGGTCAAGCTTTGCTAGCAAATAACTTTTGGAAAAAAACCGTCAGCTTTCAGATCCTTTTGGATTTTGCAATTGTAGATAAGAGTTCCTGGACCTGCAACTGTATCTGCCTCTTCAGGTTGTTGTTTGTTGTAAGCATTAAATGAAAAAAAATTGTTAGGAAGTCCTTAACACACTGTCTGGCAAATAGCAATACTAAACATTAACTATTGCTGCCCTGGCCCCTCCTCCCCTTCTCGCCTCCTTTTCCTGATGTGTTGGTACCTGGAACAGTCTTTCAGGGGACCTATTTAACAAGTGGATTTAAAAATGGTTGAAATCACACATATGATTGAAGCTTGCTTAATTTTGTTACCTTATTTATACTATTAGCAAGTCTCATTTTCTATAAAGCTTTGCTTAGCTGAGTTAATTTCAGCCCACACTCTGTTTAAACTATCCTCAAATCCAGATTATTGAAGTCCTAATTAATGAGGTTTTAAGGTAAATAATATCCAAATTCTATGTATGATTCCATTAGGAACTATTTCTTCTATTGAGTTCATTTTTTTGCTTGAAAGGAGAAAATGCACTTTTCCTCCTTTTAATGATCCTAAAAAACTCAAAGTGATCACTAACTCAAAGTTCGGGGCTGTATTTGTAAATTTCCTTTAGTGATGAAACTTCTTTTAAAAAATAAATTTATTTATTTATTTATTTTTGGCTGCGTTGGGTCTTCGTTGTGGTGCACGGGCTTCTCATTGCAGTGGCTTCTCTTGTTGCGGAGCACAGGCTCAAGGTGCACAGGCTTCAGTATTTGCAGCATGTGGGCTCAGTGATAGTGGCTCGTGGACCCTAGAGCGCGTGGGCTTCAGTAGTTGTGGTGCACGGGCTTAGTTTCTCCATGGCACGTGGGATCTTCCTGGACCAGGGGTTGAACCTGTGTCCCCTGCATTGGCAGGTGGATTCTTAACCACTGCGCCACCAGGGAAGTCCCGATAAAACATTTTTAATTCCCTTTAAAACTGCAAAATTCACATGTACTCCAGGAGCAGCCCTAGTGACTCCTTTGTTCAAGTGTAGGATTCTCTGTGGATATAAAATGTTCACCCCTGTAACATGTGTGGGTCTCTGAGAGTGACTCAGTTTATCTTGTGATGCAGTACACATATAGGTCCTGGATTGGGGAAGGGAATTATTTACAGGACTGGGAAAAACTTCAAGTGACTTACCTTGAATAGTAATAGACGTACTCCAACAGCTAATGGATCTTTGCCATTTCATTTTATTGCTTCCCTCTTCTATTTTCCCAAATGTTTTCCTAAAACTATTTTAATTCCAGCATGTGAAACATGGCATAAAGTTGTCAGCATGAAGTATATGTTTATTTTCTAAAGCAAAATGATGTAAATTGGTTAAGCTGGATATGCCTTCTCCTCTCCTCATAAAAATGAGAATGATTCAGTGTTTTTAGTGCCTTTGTCCGCCTTTCCTACCCTGTAATTTTTTTTAGTAGCTGCTCTCACTATTTAGAAGCCTGAAATCAAGCATATAGCTGGCACCTTGTGTGACTCCTCTTCAAGTAAAATCAGGAGAAAATGGATTCCATATATTGTCTTAGAAATGTTCCTGAAGAATGGGAGCTTTGCAGTTTGATGAATCTGTTTGTTGAGGAGGCTGCAACGCCCTGCCAGCTGCCGTGGATAAACACACAGTCCACTCTTGAGTAATACCCTTGTGCTCAGGGCCTGGCAAATTCTCCCGTTCACCGTGACTCCTACTTACTGAACATTGCTTTTCTTGTTTACCTCTTCGCTCTTCATTTTCACTCTCCTCTAGTTGCAGTTCGGGGTAGAACTCAGGACACGACCCACACTTTTTCAGTAAGTCATTTCTACTTGTTCCATGCTCTTCTGATTATAACAAAATCTAATTTTCTTTTTAAATGCTTTACTATATCTTAGAGCAGGGTATCTCAGCTGTTGACATGTTCTGAGCTGGATAATCCTTTGTTGTAAAGGCCGTTCTGTGTATTGTACGATGTTTAGCAGCATCTCCAGCTTCTACCCACTAGATACCGATAGTACCTCCTCTTCTCCCCAGTTTGTGACAAGCAAAGATGTCTCTAGACATTGCAAAATGTCCCTGGGGCTGGGGGGTGGGCGGTGAAATTGTCCCTAGTTGAAAACCACTCTCTTAGAGGAATGTTCTACTGTCGGGTTCCCAGGAATTCTAAATGAGTATTTCGATGTTATGCAGCCTGAAATTTCAGGACACTCGTAACAAGTGTTTTTGAAATAATGGTTTCTTACACAATGACAGGAAGCTGTGACGTTTTCAGATTTTAGTTTAGAATCTTGAGGCAAAGTGTTTTTTTGTTTGTTTTTTAACTTTTAGATGTTTCCAAACTGGCTAGTCACCTGGCTGAGAATTGATCTGTACAGAGAGGACAGGACCATGAGGGATTTCCACGTCGTCTCCTTCATTATAGACAAATTAGTACAACCTTACAAAAATTTATCTAGACAGCTCGTCTGTTCGGCTTTAGAGCACACACAAGGCTGTACATCCTCCACTGGAGCTTTTCCAGTCTGGTGTGGGAGCTCTGGGGAAGCAATCAGATGCCATAAAGGACCTGAGACGCTTCTGCAACTCCCACACTCCCCCTTCTGATCTCATCATTCTGCTCTGTTCTTAATCCTCCAATATCCTAAACCAAACGTTTGCCCAGAAGCTTCAAGTAGACTTCCTTTGACATTTAATTGTCCAGTATTATGTTATATAGTCACCCCTGGCTACAAGGGCATCTGGGAAAGTACAGAGATAGAGATTTCAGCTCTCCCAGCCTCTATAGTGTATTAATTTCCTAGAATGGCCATGACAAAGTACCACTACCTGGGTGGCTTAAACAACAGAAATGTATTGTCTCACAGTTCTGGAGGCTTGAAGTCCAAAGTTAAGGTGTTGGAATTGGTGTCTTCTGAGTGCCGCAGGGGAGAACCTGTTTCGCGCCTCTCACCTGGCTTCTGTAGCCTCAGGTATTCCTTGGCTTATGGACCATGATCTCTCTGTGTCTTCACATAATTTTCCTTCTACTTGTGTGTCTCTCTTTCCAAATTTCCTCTTTTAATAAGGACACCAGTCCTATTGGATTAGGGCCCATCCTCAAAACCTCATTTTAACTTGATTATCTCTGTAAAGATTCTGTTTCCAAATAAGGTCACATTCTGAGGCACCAGGGGACTTCCCCGCATCTCTTTTGGGGTGACCCAATTCAAGTCATAATAAAAGTTGACATACACAACTTTATTATGTATGTCATACTTTTATTATGTATGACAGGTGTAGGGCTAGCCTGTCCATAAAGTTGGCCATACGTACTGACAAGAAGGAAGGATAATTTGATTGGTTCCTGATAACTTATTTTTTGTATTTCTTAAGTGAAAATCTAGTTTCAATAATCAGAAGAGAAGTGTCCATGTCCAAAAGGCACTGGCCCTTAAGTGACCTAAGTGGCTCTCTCTTCAGTTTTGAGCTCTCGTGTTTCCATTGGGTTTAATCTTAGGGCAAAAGTTGCCTCTCTGGAAAAATCAACAACTACTTGTCCTTGGGAAGTAAATTAATTGTGTTAGGGCATTATGACTTCACTTCCAAAATCCAAGCTGCTTGTTTTTGAAGTATGATTTATTTCAGGGCCTTCTTTTTGTTTTTAAAAAATTGAGATATATATTCTTTATTACAATCCACCCCCTCTTCCCTGCCCTATTCCATGTATCTCTAGTGTTGAAATCCCTGGCACATCTTGTGCCACAGAGTATCAGGGATATATTAACAAATGGTACTAAGAAAAAGGAGGAGAAAAAAAAAAAAGGAAAGAAAATCACATTTCTTGGTGTGAGAAACACAACACAACTTTACAGTTTCGATGGGACACATATTTTCACCCCGGCATTGGCATTTGGTGTTCCCAAGAACTGAGTCAGATTGGAATGTTAATTTATTTGAATAAAAATATGTAAATTTAACTTTGAAAAGACTTGGTGGTATCATATTCATGGAGATCTAGGTAAGCGTATGAAGGTAAGTTCTGTGGTACATAGAATATAGGGAAGTTCATAGCTGTTTGCTCCTCTCTGGACGCCAGAATCTTGGCAGGGAGGTTGGGTAGGTTCTGCACAGGTCAGCCATCCTGGTGTTTTTAAAAGTTACACTCTGCTGAGTCTGCAGGTTCCATGGAACGCTTTCAGGTCCACCCAGGGTGACCTCTGATTCAACACATTTATTCCTTATTTGTCTTTACCAGAAAGACTTCTAGTTGAAAAATAGGCTCTATGGGCTGAAAAGAGTTTGAGAAACACGATATAACATAATTCCTGAAAGGCTCCATAAACTATGACAAAAGCAAAGGACTGAGTGAACCCACATACTGGAGGAGTAATACTGATGATAAAAGTGGATGCAGCTAAGAATAGAACTACCATACGACCAAGCAATCCCACTACTGGGCATATACCCTGAGAAAACCATAACTCAAAAAGAGTCATGTACCACAATGTTCATTGCAGCTCTATTTACAGTAGCCAGGGCATGGAATCAACCTAAGTGTCCATCATCGGATGAATGGATAAAGAAGATGTGGCACATATATACAATGGAATATTACTCAGCCATAAAAAGAAATGAAATTGAGTTATTTGTAGTGAGGTGGATGGACCTAAAGACTGTCATACAGAGTGAAGTAAGTCAGAAAGAGAAAAACAAATACTGTATGCTAACACATATATATGGAATCTAAAAAAAAAAAAAAAGGTTCTGAAGAACCTAGGGGCAGGACAGGAATAAAGACGCAGACGTAGAGAATGGACTTGATGACACGGGGAGGGGGAAGTGTAAGCTGCGACGAAGTGAGAGAGTGGCATGGACATGTGTACACTACCAAATGTAAAATAGATAGCTAGTGGGAAGCAGCCACATAGCACAGGGAGATCAGCTCGGTGCTTTGTGACCACCTAGAGGGGTGGGATAGGGAGAGTGGGAGGGAGACACAAGAGGGAGGAGATATGGGGATATATGTATACGTATAGCTGATTCACTTTGTTATAAAGCAGAAACTAACACACCATTGTAAAGCAATTATACTCCAATAAAGATGTTAATAAAAAAAAAGTGGATGCAATATGTTGAACTTCAGTTGGGTATGGGATACCGGGCTACTCGGATTATCTAATTTAGCTCAGCTGCTCATCATAGCAAAGTCTATGAGTTTCAGAGAGGTTAATGTCTTGCTTCAGTTAACACCCTGGTAAGTGGTAGAGTGAGAACTTGGAATCAGGACTGTCTGACTTTAAAGTCCCTGTTCCACAGTCTGGTCTACATCAGGTGTCTGCTTCCTCCTTCAGGGTCATTATCACTCTCTGAGTCTAGTTACTGCACTTGCTTGAGGTCATTACTGATTGATTTCCATTGAAGACTTTGCTCTCCTCTGGTAAGGTCTGCAGCGTGTTGACTGTGGCTAAGTGATCACACAGTTTTCCATCTCTCCAGCTGAGATTTTCTGCATCTGTTAGCTCTTTGGTTTCATTCTCTTTGCCAGGTGAAATGTGAGATAGGAGAACTGTGGAAGGATCTTCAGGTGGAAAGACTTACTTTCTACTGGGAGTCCAGTGTGAAACCACATTTTCAGTTGCACGGAAACGTGTCATCCCTTGTACAACATAGTATCATTAGACAGCCCCTTAGGAGCCAGTATCTTGAGGACGTGGTTTGATAGCCCTTGTTCTGTAGGTTACTTTGTATACGGTACTTAATGCATTTTTGCATTAAGGTCAGATCTACTATTGCACTAAAGGTAGGAAACATGAAGTGAGGGTTCTTAAAGCCTCATAGTCTATCATGAAATTATAAATTTCCTTTGGAAATGGAATTCCTTGGATATGATGCTGAGCAGCTTGCCATCAAATAGCTGATTTCAAACACCCAAAGGAGTATAGAATTAATTGAATTATAGGCCTCGGACCTTGAGAGCCTTAGAAGGACAAAATTAGAGAGTTCAGAGATTAAGTAATTTAACCTTCCTTGATTGGCCCAATTCTAGCCTTCTCCAGTGACTGGGAACTCCACTGCCTGACATGTGAAGATGCTTAAAATATGAGGTAAAAACAAACCCACAGAATTGCATATATAATATCTCAACTATGTTTTAGCAATACATACAAATAAATTATTAAAAAATATTAATAGTTGTTGCCTCTGGGTGGTGGGATCATGGGAATTAGTTTTGCTTATTTACACTTTTGTGTTTGTCCGTAATGAATCTTCTTATACAGTGAGTATGTATCACTTTGAAATTATTGGGACTGGGGGAAATTCTTTACCTTCGAGTAAGATTCTTTGATTTATACCTTTTGGTCCTCAACTTGAGCTCTGAGGGCAACTCAACAAATCCTACTATTCTTCTATATAATCGCTTTTTAAAATAGTTGAAGACAGCTTGAATGTCTTCTTGCCTTTAAATTTGTAGATAGGCAAACAGGAATTTTTTTTTTTTAACCTGAGACTGTAAGCCTGAGACCGTCAAGGTATATTAATTTCTGTGAGAATGGTACTGAGTATTATGTAAATATCTACTACTTTTCCCCTTTCTTCTTCCAAAATAAACCATCAAAGCCAAACAAATTTATCACCTCAAACTTGGTGTTTTTATCGAATTCAACATTTTCTGAAAATTGGATTTGGCAGAATCAATTTGAGTAATCTCAAAGTGTACTTGAGGTGTTTGGTAAATTTAAGTTCTTGGTTTAAGGGAAGGTCAGGACAGAGAGGGAAACTCCAGGAAAGGATGGAAGCGTTGGGCAAGGTAGGGGGTTGTGTAGAGTTTTGGGTCCTTTAATGGAGAAATAGTGATTTTATGCTTTAGAAGAGGAGGTGGTGATCAGATTTCCTTGCCTTCTTATACTCTGCTATTGACCGTATTTAGAGTCATTATATTAGTGGAATTTTGCCCTTTCAAATGCTGAAACGATGACATTACTCCAAAACTATTCAGCACAGACGCAGTACCACTGCACTTCAGTGCATGAGTAACCAATATGCAATAGAAAGTTCTAAAAAAAGCTTGAAAAAATATCTTTCTGCCCTTGAATTCCTGATAATGTCTCAAGGTTACCTATCAAGATTACCTCATTGTATAATCTTAATCTGGTATATGTGGTGAAAGAGTTTCTCTGGAAAACTCAAAGTACTTTGAAAACTCAAAAGTTTTCAAAGTACTTTCTGTCTGAATTCTTTTTCCAACTAAGCTTTGAAACTCCTAAATTAATAGTAGTTTTAGGAGTAAGTGTTTTCCCGAAATACTTCTCGAGGAACCTGTTTAAGGAATTATATAAAAATTAAAAATACCAGTAAAATATTTTATTAGCTAACGAGTGTAGATTTATTTCAAGCAGAGGCAAATACAGCTATCCATTACCTATTTTTTTAAGTTAATTGTTGCAGAGAATCTGGAAGCTGGTGTTATAAATAGTTTTGTCCCTTCGGCTAAGCAGTAGATTTTAACACTTTGTTGCATCTGAAACAAGGCTTATCCTTGTTCTGTTTCTTTGTTTCCAGATGGTCTTCCAGCTTGAAGCCCAAATATCTGAGCTTGTTGAACAGTTGGGAAATGAGTCTGGGTTTCACCAGAGAGCTCTACAGAGAGCCCAGAAAGCAGAAAAGAAGTTGGAGACTCTTCAGGGTCAGCTGACACATCTGGAGGGAGAGCTGGTCTCTGGAGACGTTTTGCGAGACAACTTGAATTTCGAGAAGCAAAAAGTAATAACCTGAGGGCATGTCTGTGGGTGGAAACATCTGCTGCAGTATAAAATTTCACCTGGAAATATTTTGAATTTTGCGGTACTTTGGTAGATTGGTTAAGTTCTGAGTTCTGAGTAAATTTCAAGGAACAGTGGATGTTGTTTTGGTGTTCCTTGCTATTGTTTGGAGCTTCCTTGATTCAAGTTAATTCAATTAAATTCAACAGGTATTTATTGAACGTCTGTTATATATGAGACTCTGAAGGTTTGGGGGGTAAGGTATAACACGCAGTTCTTGACCATAAAACCTCATGATTCAGTAGAGGAGACAGACATTCAAATAGTTTGCTGTACTATAAGGCTATAAGTGTTATAATAGATGTATTGATCAACAGAGTGCTCTAGGAGTCCAGTGAAGGGAGTGATAAATTCTGGATGAGGGGAGGATTTTACAGTGGAGGAGATAATCGAGTTCACCTTCGAAGGATAAGTAGGGTTTTAGTGGAGAGAAAGAGCAGATACTGTAGGGGAGACAGTTTGAACAAAAGCATGAAAGTTGCAAGTGCATAGTATATTCAGAGAGCGCAGAGTAGCTGTTGCCATGTGGCTGGAACGTGGCATTCTTGGCGAGGCTCTGACAGGCGAGCAGATTGGAATGGCTTGGATTATGAAGATTGAGTTCTCTTTACTCTGTAGACTATGACGTGTAATAAGTGACTTCTGAACATCACAGTATTTTAGAAAGATCTCATCACTGTGGAGCTGGGATTGCAGTGTGGAGAGACTCAGAAACGATAGTGGCGACAAGGAAGGTAGAGTGAGAAGAGATGGGGTCTAAGCTTAAGATTTGACCCTGGGAAGACCATTGGTGACATCTGAGTGGCAGTTTTAGTAGAGCGGTGGAGAACAGGAGGGGTGACTAGGAAGAGAAGGGCTAGAGACTTATACGACTACCAAGGCTGGTGACCAAAGAGAAAAGAGGCATGAAGCCAAAGCTATGACAAACAGGATCAGAGCAAGGTTTTATCGGACAGAATGGCAAGGTACATGTTTGTACCTCGTCACGGGCATCTGTAGGGGAAGAAAAAGGGACAAATGGGCTCAAGAGCATAGGTGCAGAGTTTGGCATGAAAAATACTCTTCAGTTGAAAAATCTGTACTCTGGACACTCATTCATTTTCATCCTCTGTACTTAAAAAAGTTGAGGACGCATCATGCCTGTGCTGAGGGTTGGATATGCAAAGATGCCTAAGAGGTGTCTGTGGGAAATCCTAGTGTCATGGATGAGATGGGCAAATCAGGGCACAATTAGTACAGTTAGTGCTACAATCGAGATAGGTATACAATGCGACAGGAATTCAGATAAAGCAGTAATTACTTCTTCCCTATTTCTGTGTGTGAGGAAATGAGCCATATTCACACAAGTGGTCACATGTGAGAGGGGCCTGAAAGAATGACTAGGAACTTGGCAGGCAGAAGCGGTGGGGAAGGAATTTGAGGCAGAGGGGACAGCAGGAAGGATGAAGAAATAGAGGGTGACAGGGAGACTGGAACGTGATGCTTGCCGAGGCAGAGGCAGGAGGCAGCTCTCAAGGTGGCAGGAATAACTGAGGTAGGGCAGGCTGATTACGCGAGGCTTTATCCTGTGGGTAATGGAAAGCCACAGGAGGGTTCTGACTAAAAGAAAGGTTTTTCTGCAGGCAGAGTGGCTCTGAGAGTCTAGAGGCAATCCATATTGCACATTGCTCGTCTCTCTGAGAAAATGTTCTCCTTACCTTCTTCTAGAAATAACTATCCCTTCAAGACTCAGCTCCAATGCCACTTCCTCTGGAAGCCTTTCCTCAGAGGCTGTTCTTCACGCAACACGTACCTGGCTCTGTCACGGCACTAATCACCCTTTTTGTATCCATGTCTTAATTTGTCTTTTCCAGTCAACTCAGAACTTCTTGAGGCCCGGGGAAATCATTTTTTCTGGATTTTTCCAGGGCTTAGAGCAAGAATCAATAAATATTATTTAAATAATAGAAGAAGCATATCAAAGGCAAGACTTTTAGGTAGATCGTTGTCTCTTCCCGCCTTCACTAGGATGACTCATTAATTTTAATTGAGGTTATGCCAAAACAGCTTTCAGTCATGCAATCAAGTTGTGTAAACTGATTCTGCCCATGGTGAATCTTTCATAGATAACTGCCTATAAAATAGTAATAGTTGCCTTACTGCCTAGTAAGGCTAGTAGGTATGTAAGATTGAAAAGCAAAAGTGTATAGAGATTAAATTTAAATACAGGTAATTGAGGTAAATTTAAATAGTAGGCATGTAAGATTGAAAAGCAAAGGTGTATAGAGATTAAATTTAAATACAGGTAATTGAGGTTTATACGACACAGAATATATTCATGCTAAACTGTGATTCAAATGAACCAAATGTACAGGAAACCTGTCAGCAACCTTAACTTTCTGAGGCTTAGCCAAGGTCCTTGAAAAGGCACTTTCTCTGTGGGGTCTTGACTCAGTCCTGCCTTAATCCCCTTGGCCTGCTGTAGATCTTTGAATGCTGAGTGGATGGGTCACATGTAGAAATAGAAAGAGAGGCTTTTATACCTTCGCATGAAAGGTACCAACTCCATTTTATTTAAAATACAAACAGTAGCAGTTATTTCACTTTCATCTGCATAGATTAGAAATGAAATAGTCCATGAAGGGGGCTGACCCAACATTAAGAAGTGACAAACTGGGGCTTCCCTGGTGGCACGGTGGTTAAGAATCCGCCTGCCAATGCAGGGGACACAGGTTCAAGCCCTGGTTAGGGAAGATCCCACATGCTGCAGAGCAACGAGGCCTGTGTGCCACAACTACTGAGCCTGTGCTCTAGAGCCCCCAAGCCACAACTACTGAAGCCTGCGAGCCATAACTACTGAAGCCCGCATGCCTAGAGCCCGTGCTCTGCAACAAGAGAAGCCACTGCAATAAGAAGCTCACACGCTGCAACGAAGACCCAAGACAGCCAAAAAAAGAAGTGACAAACTGATGATTCAGAGACAAAAACAGCCTGTGGTGGTCCTGTCACACAATACAGCAGCAATGTCTGTAACGGCTGTGACTTACAGGAGAGATGAAGTTTTACGTATGCTTTTCAACAAAATTGGAAAATATACACTTACAAATAATTTCATTCTGATGACTGAAATATGGATAGCTCTGTGCTTTAAGCTGGCGTGCTTTAGTCATCAGGAAATGATACTTTATACTTGTTTAAACATGTAATTGCCTAAAGATGCCAGATGGATGAGTTATTGCAATGAGAAGGAACTTTCAAAGATAGAACCCAGATCATGAAATTATGTTATAGAAAGCTCATTGATGGATTTATTTATTCATCAAGCACTTAGTAAGGATTAATATCTGGCATGATGAGATAAGCCACAGAAATCAAGTGGAGGAGGATCCTAGGGTAGTTTTGTAACTTTAACCTGTTACAGCTCAATTCCCTGATACAGCTCAATTTTAGAATGTTGTTCCTTTAACTTTGATACATTAAAAACTTTTAAAGACATTTTCTTTTTTTTTTTTTTTTTTTTGCGGTACACGGGCCTCTCACAGCTGTGGCCTCTCCCATTGTGGAGCACAGGCTCCGGACGCGCAGGCTCAGCGACCATGGCTCACGGGCCCAGCCGCTCCGCGGCATGTGGGATCCTCCCGGACCGGGGCACGAACCCGTGTCCCCTGCATCGGCAGGCGGACTCTCAACCACTGCGCCACCAGGGAAGCCCTAAAGACATTTTCTAAAGAATTTTAACTTACAAAAACAAAAATGTTGCCCAAGTTTGTTTGTATGGAGAGCTCTGGTTTCAGCGTGATTTGTAGAAACCAAGAAGTGTAAAATGGCAACCAGCTAATTGGTCAATTTCCATCTTGGAGGCCAGGACCCACTTAGGTGGACAAAATTTCCATGGAAGGTACGTGGATGAGTGGATCGCAGGGGCTGGATTAGCCAGTAGATCCCAGGAGCTGGGAGGGTCATGGTAGCAGCAGCATGTACCCAAAGCAGAGAGATTCAGATGCAGTCAGGAGCGTGCCACATTTGTCAGGTGGCAGGGTTAAGAAGAGTGTATAATGTTAGACTGAACATCAAGGCCCCTGACCAGGAGAGTCAAGAGAATTTGGACAAGGAACAGAAAGTGGAGCGGGCAAGGTGGTTCAAGAATTCATCACCAAGCACTGGAGTCAGGGGCTGGGCTCTGTACTGGGTTTAATGAGAACTACCTGTAAGCTTGGGAGAAACACAAGGATTCTGTGAGATCACCTGTTAACTCTACTTTTGTGTCCCATTTTCATTTTTGTTCTTGGGTTTAGTATCTTAAATTTCTGGATCAGCTTTCAGAGGAGATGAAGTTGGACCAGATGGCTGCTGAACTTGGCTTCGACACGCGTCTGGATGTGGTTTTAGCTCGCACAGAGCAGCTGGTCCGCCTCAAGAGCAGCACAGTCATTGAAAACAAGACGGTCGCCTACAGTTTACAGAGAAAGGTAGGGGATATTGCTGGCGTTGAGAGAGGGAAATTCTGAGAAACTTAAATCTTGAAAAATAATTTATTTCCACCATATTTGCCAGTGTGGCTAGGAAACATATTATACAAGTATGTATTTAGAAGCTGAGTCTCTGTTTCAAGTCTGAAGGGAAAGTAAGTGTATCATCTAAGGTTATGTTTGACTGTGAATAGCTTAAACAAGTAGAAGTGGTTTTTTTGGGTATTTTTTCCCCTCGCATCCATTTCTGGAGGTAAGCAGCTTAGAGTGAGTTGGCAGCTCTACTCTGTAAAGTTTCCAAGGACCCAGGCTCCTTTCAGCTCAGTAATTGCCCATCCCTAGCGGGGTCCTTATTGTCATGGTTCACAGTGTTGCCTAGAACCATTATATCTGTGTTCCGGGCAGAAGGTTAAAAAAGAAAGGGATGAAGAAGAGGGATGCAGAAGAACATGCATGAGCTGTCTTTTAAAGGAGGCTCCCAGAGTTTTCTGTGTGAACTTGTGTTTATATCCCACAGCTAGAATGTGTTCTGATGGCTAAACCTAGCTGCAAGGGAGGCTGGGAACTGTAGCCTTTACTCTGGGTAGCCATTTGTCTAGCTGAAGAAGTCACTGTTTCTATGACTATGGGAGAAGAGGAGAGCTGGACAACATCTAGCAGTCTCACCTTTATATAAGCTCTCTTGCACTAGAAAGTAGAGAGGAGAAGAGTTTACTTTCCACTCACTCAAAGGAAGACTTAGAAACAGTTTAGACTACATAAATGAATGGATGAAACATAAAAACATAATTATTATGTAATTATTGGCATTGGGGAAAGAAATAGGAAAACACAGATGTGTCCTTAGAATAGTTCTTAGGAGAAAATTCTATGGTAGAATTATCGTGTATAGGCTGCTTAATGAGTCACATCTGGGTTCTCAATTTGGTTCAACCAAGCTGTGTGACATTGGGCAAATTATATACTTCTCTGTGTTTCCTCGTATTTAAGATGGGGATGATGCCTACCTCATGAGGTTGTTAATAAATAGCATTTTTGTACTGTTGGTTCATAGAAGATGCTCTATTCATATTTGACCTCTTCTCCATTTACTGTATCTTAAGGAATATTTTATAAAAGAAAGCAGACAACCCCTAGTACCATCAGAGACATTAAACTGAGCTACAATTCTTTCTGAAGTTCTCAGATAATTGATTTTTCCTCAGTATCCAATATTGTTCCTTCTTAAGTATTATATAATTATTAAAATGACTAGCGTACAGAACTTACCATGGTAAATTTGCAGTAGAGTGAAATTTGACATGAAGAAGCTCAGGAAAGGGAGTTTAGTTAGAGAAATACTAAAAGCGCCTTGTTAAAAAAGGATGTGGGCATGGACATTGCTGTCACTGTTAGACAAGATATTTAAGCCCTCATTTCAGTAAGCCCTTCACACCTTCAAACACTTTACTAATGCAGAATATATAATTAGGGAAAATGGGATGGTCTTTAGCTCTAACATTCTATAATTCTACACGATTCCAATTCCCAGTGTTTGTAAGAGATGAAAGAGGTTCCTGTACTTAATATTCTACTCACTAATTGTGACATATGAAGCCCAGGAGGATTTTTTTCTCCTCATAGAGTCCATAATCTTTTTCTAAAAACCATTACAATTTCTTTCATCAAGTTTGACCGTCGATGCTAAGTGCTATTTGCAGACCCTCTTCAGCCTGGTTTGTGGATGGTATAAGGTCTGGCATATAGTAAAGACACTAATGAAGCAATGCCTTCTTGAAGTCCCTTCTATTTCTAAGATTTTCAATATATAAACAAAGCTTTCCTCAAAATCTCCTTCATATAGCTTACTTTAAAAATATATCAACTCCCATGTTTGGTGCCCCTCAACCTGGTTCTAAGTGATTGAAAGTAGTCGCACTGGGTTTTCGGTACTAATTTACACTTTGTCTTCTTTCAGAAAAGACCAGTAGCAGTATAGTTGCCGTGGGGTGTTGGAGAGGATTTTGTCTGTCTTATTATGTTCTGCTCTTGATAAGCCCATTTTAGTAGTTTTAAAAGTAATTTTACATTTTACTATGATGCACATAATGTTGGAGGGAATCAGACATTGAAAGCCTACTCCTTTGTGCATTTTCTGTGGCTCTTTTTGTCTCATACTTTGCAGCTACCAAATTAATTCTTGGAAAAATAGGGATTGAAAAATGCAATCAGGAAAATCTGATGGTTTACAAATTAGTCTTATTGAAGTGTAGATAAAGATCAACATTATCTGAGTAATTCATTTATATTTACTGACTATTCAATGATTATTAAAAAAAAAATCCCTGTTTGTATTAAACCAGCTAAAGACTCAGAAAGAAAGACTGGAGAGCAAAGAGCTGCACGTGAACCTCCTCCGGCAAAAAGTAGCCCAGCTGGAGGAGGAGAAGCAGGTGCATTTGGCATCGGCCGTGGAGAGGGACGAGGGCAATGCCACCATCAGGAAGTTGCAGAAGAAGGTGGAGAGGCTGCAGAAGGAGCTGAGTGTGTGTCGAGAATCGAACACTGACCTCAAAGCCAAACTGGCTGACACCAATGAGGTTCAGGCAAGTGCTCAGCTGCATTTCCTTGTCACTGTCTGTGTGTGTTTCCATAAAAGTTTATGCAAAAGCGTGACAGCCTTAAAAGGAACACACCAGGGAAAAAAAGCTGAAAATTTCCTCTGATTTTCTAGAGTTGTGAGAAAAATGCAAATATTCCACAGATCAGCAGAGTCGATCAATTTCGTGTCTCTTCAGTATTTGAATTGAAGCCATAGTTGCTGGGTGAAAAGTCAGTCAAAAAGGGGTGATGTGATGTACAGAAAATAAAAACATTTCTTCACAGTGTGGGTGACTATGATGGTAGGGATCATGTAGGGATTTTTCACATAGGAATTTGCTTAGAGAAAATGAGAAAATGAGCAGAAGTGTTCACTGAGAAGACAGGTGTGGGTTGTGCTGTGCGATGTGTCACACCACATGGTGAAGAGGGCAGACAGGTTGGGGTGGTGTGATTCCTGGATTCGAGGCATTCGGCTTCTAGTGAATACAGAGAAGAATGAAATTAGAACTTGGGATTTAATAAAAATATTTAAATATCACGTATCTGTGCCGCTGGCCATAATACATAACTTCATGTACGCATGTCACCCCTGGCACATACCCGTGTCGTGAAAGTGGGCAACGATGATGTCCTTGCTCTTTGCAGACACGGGCTCTGAAATGGACTTTTGGAATGTTTCTGAATCTGGACACAGACCAGTTGGGAAAAGGAATCTGGAATGAAGCCAGCACTTGAATCTGTGTAGCAGGACAATATTTTAGGGCATATTTCCCACTCTATTCTCCCTTCTGAGTCATTAGCTTTTTTCCCCCTGAAGCCCTTTTGGCATCAGGAGGAGGTAAAGGCTTATTTCCCTAGAGAAGGGGAGGGCAGACTCCACCCAGGGGAGTGGACATACTTGAATGTAAAGGAAGGGGGAGGCTAGGGAAAGCATCTGATAGGGTGCCTGGCGGGGGAGAAAATATCAGAAGTAAGTATCCTGGACACCCGTCTCATACCTTGAGAGTGACCTTTGGGGGGTGTGTCTGGTGGGTCAGGGAGCACTGATGTGCCCTGAAGTCAGCACACAGTTGCTCCCTCCCTGGCTGGCAGGGGCTGCAGGAGGTGCAGGCGCAGGGGGCCTAGATCGCACCCATGCCCCGGGGCCTGAAGTTCCATTTGCGCTCTTGGGGGATACGGAAGGTCGCTAAAGATGTGCTCAAGAGAGCACACTGTGGGAGCAGGTGGCGGTGGCCCACTCAAGTAAGGGACACAGTGACTCTCCATCAGAGGTTCCCAGGCAGATGCGCTAAGCCATGATCCCGGCTAAGTGTAGTGAGAGTAGCCATAGGAGGCCTGGGCCAAGACAACCCTGTGAACTAGAAGTGGTGCTGCGGTGAGAGGAGCCCACACTTCGTGTAGCAGAGAGCGGAAGTGGGAAGAGAGCGGAAGCGGGAAGAGAGCGGAAGCAGGAAGAGAGCAGAAGCATTCTGTATACAGAATGCTTCTAGGAGATACAGGATGGGGTATTATATGATGTTCAATCCTGAAGTAAAAAATGGGTTCCCTTTAGTTTTTCTTTCAATTCTTTCACCATGAAGGAGAAAATCTTAGAGGTTACTATGTCCTAGAACACTTGCTGGTCTACATTTTAAACAAAGAATAAGCCTTGTGCTCAGTGCTGAGTACCAGCAATAGTACCTACTAATACCGTTTTGTTTTATTGTTAATACAGTGTTTGTTTTATTGTTGTCTCCCATTTGTGGCACATTCTGTTGAAATCATATAAAATTCCCTTTAAAATCATTAAATTCCTTTAAGTTAAAAAGGTGGTTAAGTTAAAGAAGAAAATGGATCACATAGGTGACATGTGGACAGGTAAACATTGTGGAGGTAGAATGGGAATAACTGAAATATAGACAGATTGGAGAAGAGAATGAAAATGAGTGATAATTAAATGCAATAAGCAGGTGGATAGAAACGCTGATTGGCTGCTGCTAACACCGTGATAATTTCCGGGGTTTGGAGCACTGGGAGAAGAAACTGGGTAGCAGACAGGGGACAGGGCCAGCTCACACAGGGCCTCGTGTGTCACGCGAGGATGCTTGGACTTTTCATCTGGGTCCTGGGGAGCCGCTGGGGAATTTCAAGAAGATGAGTGAAATTGTCAGGAAAGAGACTAAAAAGAAACAGAGATATGAGGAGAGCAAAGGGACTCCAGAATAAGGCTGTGAGCAACAGCATCAAGGGCAGCCGTGAGATGAAGACTGAATGACTATTTGCTACACTTGGCCTTGGGACATCTAAGGCTTGAGCGTGTATAATAGCAGATCATGGTGGTAGTGAGTGAAGGCTCTGACAAAAAGCCAAGTTTCAGTAGGCTGAGAAATGACAGAGAAGTAGAAACAAAGATGGCGGCCTAGTCTTCTGGAATACATGGATGAAAAGGGAAGGAGAGACAGGAAAGTAAATAAAGTTGGCTTGTGTGTTTAATTTGTTGTTTTATTTTGCATAAAGAGATGCACATATTTCTACAGGTAAGGTATAGAAGAGACTGGATTTGACTGACTCAGCAATCACTCAGCCCCTAAACATTTAAGTAGAGTGCAAAGTCTGCCTGCCAGTAAGGAACAGAGATCTCTATAACTTACTAATACAGTAAATGACACCAATGCTAACTAATACAGTAAATGCTAACTTCATGAATTTATAAGATTTCAACTACAAAACAGCTTTTTATTGTTTTACTTGAGACATATTAGTATTCAAGACAGACTGATGGTATCAATTCTCCATCTTTGTACGTCACCTATGCTTGTCCCTGTGTTAATTTTACTATACATAAAGCAGTATTTCTGACGTTAGCAAAAATGGCCTTCTTGGGTTAGTTTCCTAGGGCTGCTGTAACCTAGTACCACGAATAGAGTGGCTTAATACAACAGAAATTGATTCTCTCACAATTCTGGAGTCCAGAAGTCTGAAATCAAGGTGTTGCTAGGGTTGGTTCTTTTTGGAGCATCTGAGGGGAACCATTCCATGCCTTTCTCCTGGCTTCCGGTTGCTGCCTACAACCCTTGGCATACCGCTGCAGAATTCTGATCTCTGTCTCCATTGTCACCTTTCCTTCTGTATGTCTCTCCTTTTCTGTATCTTATATGAATACTCATTATTGGATCTGGGGCCCACCCTAATCCAGGATGATCTCATCTTGAGCTTCTTATCTTTTTTTAAAAAATTTACTTACTTAATTAATTTATTTTTGGCTGCATTGGGTCTTCGTTGCTGTGCGCGGGCTTTCTCTAGTTGCAGCGAGTGGGGGCTATTCTTGGTTGCGGTGTGCGGGCTTCTCATTGCGGTGGCTTCTCTCGTCGTGGAGCACAGGCTCTAGGCACACGGGCTTCAGTAGTTGTGGCTTGCGGGCTCAGTAGCTATGGCTTGCGGGCTCTAGAGCGCAGGCTCAGTAGTTGTAGCGCACGGGCTTAGTTTCTCCGCGGCACGTGGGAACTTCCTGGACCAGGGCTCGAACCCATGTCGCCTGCATTGGCAGGAAGATTCTTAACCACTGCACCACAAGGGAAGCCCCAAGCTTCTTATCTTAATTACACCTGCAAATTGCAAATAAGACTACATTCCGAGGTTCTGGGTGGACATGTCTTTTGTGGGGTTGAGGGGGGGCACTCTTACTAAATTAGTCATTAATTTCACCATTTAGAGAGGGTTGATACAAAGTAATAATTTGGACACATTTCTATGTGTTTCGTTTAAAAAACTGAGATATAATTCACATGCTATAAAATTCACTTTTTTTTTTTGGCTGTGCCGCGTGGCTTGCAGGATCTCAGTTCCACAACCAGGGATTGAACCCAGGCCATGGCAGTGAAAGCCCGGAATCCTAACCACGAGGCCACCAGGGAACTCCCAAAATTCACTCTTTTAAAGTACAAAATTGAGTAGTTTTTAATATATTGACAAGGTTGTGCAGCTATCACCATTCCCTAATTCTGGAACATGTCCATCATCCCCTCACCTCCCAAAACTAAAACAAAAACCTTCATATTCATCCTTTCCCCAAACTCCATAAACCAGTAATCTACTTTCTGTTTCTAGGGATCTGCCCAAAGCAACGCTAGTTGCTTTGTAGCCGGCATGGGTTATGAATAGTTTCAGCTGAGTAGACTGAAACACACAATAACAGTGGCTTGGTCAGGAAAGATGTTTACGTCTTTCTCACTGCAAGGAAGCATGGACGTAGTCATTCCACGTTTAGTAGGATAGCTTCATGTTCATCACTGATCCTGGCTTGTTCTCTCTTTCTGCTTCACCATCCAGCAATAACTTTCCTCCTCAATGCCACCTCTTAGTGCAAGCTAGCTGCTGGCCTCATTCCAGGCACCAGGCCGAAGGAAAGGTGGAAGGACATCCTGTATGCCACTTTCCAGGAACAATACAACACTTCTTAGTCTTCGTTGGCTGTAACTTAGTCCCTGGGGCTCACTTAGATGAAGTCAGCCTAAGAAATGGGTCTTTATTCTGGGAAGTAATAAAAAAAGGAAGAATAGATATTTGGTGGTGAGCTTTCAGCCTGTACCATGTCGCTCAATCTTAGTAGGGAGCTGTGGCTGAAGACTGGTAGTCAGACAACCAAAAACTAGTGGAAAGCCATTATTATCTTCCTTGTAGTCTCTCAAGGAAACACCCAAAGAAGGTAACATTCTTCAGCCACCAGCAAAGCTCTCTTCTGCTTTCTCACTTTCTTGATAATCTCCCACATAAGGTAGCTGCTTCCCATGCTCCTCCCACACTCCAGAACTTTCTCCAATCTAACCAGTGCGGCCTTTCTTTATATTATTTTCCCCAAACCTACCATCATGAGCTCAGCTCTGATTATGTAGATCCATGGACCTTGAGTTGCCCTGAACTCGCCCCACTTTGAACGTGTACGTCAAGCAGAACCTGTGAGGAAGAACCTCCCTGGTGCTGCGGAGGGGTTTGGGGTGTGCTCAGCCCGCAGAGTGGAGCATCT